TTTATAGCCAGAGTGGGGCTGCACATCTGGACCACTTGAGGGAGGTACTAACAGTTTTGCAGGAGAACAAGTTGTACATCAATTTGAAGAAGTGTAACTTCATGACCAGTAGCCTCGTGTTTCTAGGCTTTGTTGTTAGTGCAGAGGGTATTCATGTTGATGAAGAGAAAGTTCGTGCTATTAGAGATTGGCCTACCCCGAAGACTGTCAGCGAAGTTCGTAGTTTTCATGGCCTAGCAACATTCTATAGGAGATTTGTAAGAAATTTCAGCAGCATTGTAGCACCTATAACTGAATGCATGAAGAAAGGGAAGTTCAATTGGGGGGAAGATGCAGATCGTAGCTTTGCACTGATCAAGGAGAAGTTGTCCACCGTACCTGTGCTTGCACTTCCAGATTTTCAAAAAGTCTTTGAAGTTGATTATGATGCGTCAATCATAGGAATTGGTGGTGTTTTATCTCAGGAAGGGCGTCCAGTTGCCTTTTACAGTGAGAAACTCATCGAAGCTCGGCAGAAGTGGACCACATATGAATTGGAGTTATATGCCATAGTTCAGTCTTTGAAGCATTAGGAGCACTATTTGATCTCGAGAGAGTTTCTGCTTCACACTGATCATCAGGCCTTGAAGACCCTTAATAGTCAGACTACCATCAACCGTATGCATGCTCGTTGGATTGCATATCTGCAGCGTTTTACCTTTGTTTTAAAGCATAAATCCGGGCAGCAGAATATGGTTGCAGATGCACTCAGTAGGAGAGCTGGATTATTGGTAACTTTGAAGGCTGAAGTGATTGCGTTTGAGTACCTTAAGGAGTTGTATGCAGAGGATGAAGATTTTAAAAAGATTTGGGACGACTGTCTTCAAAATAAATCAGTCAAAGGCTTTCATATTCAGGATGATTATCTATTTCATGGCGATCAATTGTGCATACCACAGAGTTCACTAAGAGAGCAGATAATTCGAGACCTTCATGCTGGAGGACTAGGAGGACATTTGGGACGTGATAAAACAATTGCAGCCATTGAAGAACGATATTACTGGCCTCAGTTGAAGAAGGGAGCAGAAAAATATGCGCGACGTTGTCCAGTTTGTCAAGTTGCTAAGGGACAGTCTTAGAATACGAGATTGTATACACCTTTACATGTTCCTGATGCACCATGGCATGATATCTCTATGGACTTTGTGTTGGGACTGCCTCGAACTCAACGAGGCATGGATTCTATTTTTGTTGTGGTTGACAGGTTTTCAAAGATGACGCACTTTATTCCGTGTAAGAAGACTGTAGATGCGAGTAACATTGCTAATCTTTTCTTTCGGGAGATAGTTCACCTTCATGGAGTGCCGAAGTCCATTACATCCGATTAATCTTTTCTTTCGGGAGATAGTTCACCTTCATGGAGTGCCGAAGTCCATTACATCCGATCGAGATTCTAAGTTCTTATCTCACTTTTTAGTTCACCTTCATGGAGTGCCGAAGTCCATTACATCCGATCGAGATTCTAAGTTCTTATCTCACTTTTGAAGAACTTTGTGGCATCGATTCAATACTTCTCTTAAGTTTAGTACTGCCTATCACCCTCAAACAGATGGGCAAACTGAAGTGGTCAATCGCACACTCGGTAATCTTCTTAGATCCATCTCTGGAGATCGACCGAAACAGTGGGATCTTGCTTTGGCACATGCTGAGTTTGCTTATAACTGTATGGAGAGTCGAACCACAGGCAAGGCACCCTTTGTGATTGTGTATGGAAGGCTTCCGAATCATTATCTCGACCTTGCTCCATTGCCTAAGATTCCCGGACAGAGTGTTCCTGCGTATCATATGGTTGAAAAGATACATGCTATCCAGCAGGAGGTGAAGGAAAAGATAGAGCAGTCTAATGCTAAATATAAAACCGATGCTGATCAACACAGGAGGAAGAGGGTGTTTGAAGAAGGAGACATGGTGATGATGTTTCTGCGAAAAGAACGTTTTCCCGTAGGCACCTACAACAAGCTGAAGAATAAGAAGTATGGTCCATGCAAAATACTAAAGAAGATTAGCGACAACGCTTATGTGGTTGACCTTCCTACAGATTTGGGTATTTCTCCTAGTTTTAATGTTGCAGATTTGTTTGAGTATTACCCACCAGAAGAAACAGCTATTCATGCAAGTGTAAGCTCGGGGTCGAGCTCTTTTCAAGAAAGGGGGACTGATGTAGAACACTTAGCAGACACGTTTATGTCAAAGTGGGACAGTCGCAAGCCCAAATGTGGGCCTGGTCGAAGAAAATAACTTGTTTTGAAGAAACGGCTGTAACTTTCAAACCGTACGTCGGAATTGGACGAATTATATATAAAAATCGACTATCTCGACGAGACGGAGCCATTCAAACCTACCCCATCGGTATCGGTTTGCGTTCTCAGTTTTGCTAAATTCCTTACGGTTTGAGAGATATTTGCATTTTTGTCCGTTTTTACTATTTTTAGTAATATTTTAGGAGTCTGTTTTGTTTAGGAAACAAATCCTATTTGATATCAGATTTGACAAGAGGACTTTCCTAATCATAAGGAGTCTTTTTAGGAGTTTTAATGTTTTAGTAATTCTTTACCATTTTTGGTAAGTTGAGAGTCATTGTAGGAATTAGAGTCATTGTAGGAGTCTTGTTTCTTTTTCTATTTAAGAAGAGTCTTGTAAGCCCTAGAGGTATAACTTTTTATTAATAAAAATTTATTTTTCCTTAATATTTCTTCGTGGATTCGAAGCTCTTCGTGGATTCGAAGATCGTTTTTTGTGGATTCAGAGAACACCCTTGGTGGCTTCCGAGGTTATCACTTCCGCGCTGCGTCAGTTAACAACCAACTCATAGCTATATACTAATGTTGAAAATCAACTCAAAACTATAACATGCAACTCATAACCATCACAACCAACTCATAAGGTTAACAACCAACTCATAACTATATATTGAGGTTGACAATCAACTCAAAACTATAACAACCAATTCATAACATCCACAACAAACTCATAAAATTAACAATCAACTCATAACTATATACTAAGGTCGACAACCAACTCAGAATCGTAACAACCAACTTATAACATCCACAACCAACTCATATGGTTAACAACCAACTCATAACTATCTACTAAGGTCTCGTAACCTTAACAACAAACTCATAACATTAACAACCAACACAAAAGGAAATTAAAATTGAAATGCATACACATTTTTTTGAAGAAGTTAGGGTGTTCTGAGAACTTGAGGATTCCCCAGCGAAGGTAGCATATAAGTTTATGTTTGTAAATTCATTATGATGACAATACCCAAACATCAAATTTAAGTCCTCGTCATTTTCAATTGCAAAATTGAACTTCTTTTTCCTTTCGAATATGAATTTCAATGAAAGAGATTACAATTGTAGTTTAAGTCTTTGGGACACTTGATACAAACTAATGATTTCTGTAAACTCATTGAGAACTACAAAAACACCCTCACCCTATTCATTGTTTTTTGTATTTGTAACAATGCAAATGAGAGATCTATCCGTCATTTTGAAGAAAAGTAGTTGAAGAATCAAAGAAGATTTATGGAGGAGAATTAAATGGCCAGGATGGAGAAGTTGGGGTAAGCAAAGAGGATTTATTGGAGGGGGATGATATAGAGGTAGAAGATGGTTAGAATTGAGAGGGAAATAAGATTTTTTTCCCTCAAAAACCCCTTTCTAATCAGCATTAACACCTACAATCGTATTTTCTTCGGTGACCGGTTGCTAGAGAGAGTGAACGAGGGTATTTTGGGATTTTTTTAAATCGGGTCGCTTGGGAACTTGATATGGAGGCTAAAGGCAATTGCATTTTGGGGATGAGGGCTTTGGGGGCTTTGAAAAAGTCTTTGGGGGGGGAATAGATGGAGTTATTTTGGGGGCTAGAAGCAATTTTCCCATGAAAAAAATCACTTTGTTTATCACAACTATCTAGTCTGCTGTGTTAGTTATATTAAATACAAAACACAACTGTAAGTATTACCGAATGAATGTATCTCAATAATTGATCTTTCATCATCAGAGATCAAATAGTGAAGTGTGAACCACGATTTATGATAGACAATATATTTTCACTGACTAGTCTTCCATATTATGAGTTTCTGTATGTATACAGTTTTGTATAGTGCCCCC